TGGTCACAAAAGGACAAATATTGTATAGTGCCACTGTTGTAAAGCGGGACTGACATAGGGGATGGGGGAAAACTAAAAGGGGATAAATAATGTACACTGCATTGAAACAGATGAGGGAGAGAACTGTTGGAAAGGGTTATATGATTGGTATTATTGTCATGACAAGAGTCCAGAATGACAGATGCATAGTGGAGTGGACTGGGGTGGGTCTGGGGGGAATTGTATAACAATGAAAGAATTTTTTTTTACTTTTCAAAGAGAAAAGGTAACTGGGGGGAGAGGTGGGCAGGGAGGAAAGTGTGCAACAATGAATCAATGGAAATCCAAAGTTTCTGTAAACTTGCACTAAAATTAAAAAAAAGAATTTGTTCGAATTTGTATTTTAATTTTGTAAACTAATAGAAAATTAAAAAATAAAGATTAAAAAAAAGACCAAGATGCAAACTAAAGACATAAAATTCTTAAGAGTTGTGGAAATAGTCTTTAAAAAGTAGTTTCTTAAAAAAAAAAAAAAGGCAGTTTCTCTAATATAATAAAATCACAAATAGCAAATAAAACTCAGTTAAAATGAAAAGCTTTATTTGTCAAAAGACACTACCAAGGTAGGGAACTCTGGTGGCCTACTGGCAAGAAGCTGCGCCACAATCCCAAAGGCGTGTGGTTCAAATCTACCAGATGTTCCACTGGAGAAGGAGGAGCAATCTCCTCTTGTGCCAGTCAGATACGATTCAACAGTACACACACAAAAATTATAATTTTTTTTTTAAATTAAAGGACAGTACCAGAAAAGACAAGCTCCTGAATGAATAATGTCTTTGAAAAACATATTAACTAACAAGAATTTGATAACCAAAATATATATAAAACTTTGATAACAGCAAAAGACAAATAATTAATCATAAAATGGAGGAAAGTCTATGAAGATATTTCACCAAAGAGGAAATTCAAATGGCTACCAAATATGTGGAAAGATGCTCAATATTATCAGTGATCAGAGAGATATAAAAGAAAACTACAACGAGTTAACATTTCACTTCAACTTGAATAAAGACCAAAATGGATGTCAGAAGAGAATTTGAAAATTGTACTAGAATGCCAAGAACCCAAAGCAAAGAGAAGAGATGCTGAAGTAAAAGGGAGAAACAGAAGATTTCAATGGGTACCACAAGAAGATAAAGCAAAATATTATAATGAAATATGCAAGAGCTAGAGTTAGAAAATAAAAAGGGAAGAAGTTGCTTGGCATTTTTTGGGTTGAAAACTGAAAAACAAATTCAAGTCTCAAGTTGCAATACCGAAGGATGTTATGAGCAAAGTCTTGAATGATGCAGAAAGCATTCAAAGAAGATGGAAGGAATACACATAGTCATTGTGTCAAAATAATTGGTTGACACAGAACCATTTTAGGAAGGAGCATATGATCAAGAATCAGTTGTAATGAAGGAAGTTCAATCTACATTGAAAACAATGGCAAAAAATAAGGCAACAGGAATTGCAGCCCTGGATACACTAACCAGGCTGTGCTAAGAAATCTGGAAAACGGCTATCTGGCCAACTGACAAGAAGTGATCCCTATTTGTTCCCATTCCCAAAAAGGTTATCCAACAGAATGGGAAAATTATCTAGCAATATCATTAATATCACATGCAAGCAAAATCTTGATGATTATTAAAAAACAACTAGAACAGTTACTTTGTCAGAGAACTGCCAGAAATTCAAACTGGATTTAGAAGAGGCCATGGATATTACTGCTAATAGCAGACAGATCTTGGCAAAAAGCCGAGAATGCCGGAAGGATGTCTATTTGTGTTTTATTGACTAAGCAATCTGAAGTTCATGTGAAACCTATACCTAGACCAAGAGGCTGCTGTGGAGGCAGAGCAAGGGAAAATGGCATGGTTTAAAATTAAGAAAGGAATGGGTCAGGACCGTAATTTTTTTCCATACCAATTCAATTAGTATGCTAAGAAGATATTATCATGGAAGAAATGAAAATAAAATTTCCTAAAATAAAAATGATACATCAAAACCTTTGGGAGCTGGCATAAGCAGTAATTAGAGGGAATCCACAGTAATAAACACCTAAAATATATCTTAATTTATTAAGAAAGAAAGATCCAACTTTAACAAATAGAAAAGAAAGATCAAAGGAAGCCAAAAGCTAACAGAAAAAAATCTGGTGGATTGCAACAAGTAACCTTTTGGTTGGCAGCTCAATCAATTTTGTAGTCTGTCAACAAGATGGAAGCTCTGGTGGCCTAGTGGCAAGAAGCTGAACTGTAAATCCAAAGGAATGTGGTTTGATGTGATCTGCAGGAGAAAGATAGGCAATCTCCTCCTGTGCAATTAACTGCCTCTGAAAACCCTCCAGAGGGCCAGCAGTGGGTCAGTTCTGACTCGATGGTACTCAACAACAACAACATACCATCAGGGATGTCCAATTATCTATATACAACTTGAGAAAAAGAAAAAAAAAACATGAAGGGAAAAAAAAACCAAACCACACAACTTGTGCCTAACAATGGGTCAAAATCCATCCGGTGAAGCAGAAATAGTCTAATAAATGATGCTGGCAAGCAGGAGATTCATCCACAGAAAAATGAAACAAGGTTCACACCTCACACTATACATAAAAACTCACTCAAAATGGATCAAGGACCTCTATGTTGATCCTAACCCTGCAAGATTCCTAGAAAACAACATAAGTCAAGGAAGGTTCCAAACGCCACACTTTCATTATCCTTTCCTCATGGAATCAGAATATGTCACTTTCTGACACACTGATGTTTTGACAATACATAGAATATTGCCAATCAGAGAAACTCACTCAATCCTTGGTGTCCAGAGGTTTTATTGAAGCTTCAGTATATAGGCATGACTAAACCATTGAGCAAGTGACTAAACTCAATCTCTAGCTGCCGCCTCCTCCCTTTCCAGGAGGCTGTGCTGCTGTATCACATGGTTCATGTGATTGTAATGTAAACCTGTAAATGTATGATTTTTCTAGTATGGCCAGTTCCTACTGTGAGATTTTTCATTTGCACAAACTACCATAGGTCCAACTGTTAATCATCTGACTAGTGAATTCAGACACAGTCCACCATGAATAACAGACACCAACAGAGCCACTAGGCAAATTCCAAGGGATTCTATATTGTGGTTGTTGTTATGTGCTTGTGACTCATAGCGACCCTATGTCCTAAACGCTGCTCTATCCTGTGCCAATCGCACTGCCTCTGACACACCCATCCTGATTACCCCAGTCACTGAATCAATCCACCTCATAGAGGGTCTGCCCCTCTTGAACCATCCCTCCACCCTCCCAAGCATGATGTCCCTCTCCAAGGACTTGTCCCTCCTTACAACATGTCCAAAGTATGTCAGACAAAGCCCCAGAATCCTTGCCTCCAAGGAGCAGTCGGTTTAACCCTCTCCAGGATGAATCCATTTGTTTTCTTGGTAGTCCATGGTACAATAAATACTCTTCTCCAGCACCAAAGCTCAAAGGCATCAATTCTCCTTCTATCCTTCCTAGTCATTGTCCAACTCTCTGATGCATAACAAGTGACTGCAAAGACCAAAGCCTGTATCAGATGCACCTTAGTCTCCAGAGTGACACCATTGCTCTTCAGTACCCTGGAAAGGTCCCTAACAGCAGACTTTCCCATCGCAATATGTCTTTTAATTTCCTGGCCACTGGTGCCAAGAGTGTTGACTGTGGAGCCAAGCCGACTAAAGTTGTTAATAATCTCAATCTCTTCACCATCCATCCTGATGCTACCAATTGGTCCAGCGGTGAGAATCTTTGTCTTCTTGACATTGAGCCTCAATCCATACTGAAGGCTGCAGTAGTCCTTGACCCTCTGCAGCAAGCATTTCAGGTCCTTCTCAGTTTCAGCAAGCAGGGTTGTGTCATCTGCATAATACAGATTATTAATAGATCTTCCACCAATCCTGACACCACACTTCTCCTCATAGAGCCCAGCCTCTCGGATAATCTGTTCTGCATACAGGTTGAAAAGGTATGGATAGGACACATCCCTGGTATACACCCTTCCCTATTTTGAACCATGCAATGTTTCCCTGCTCTGTTCTGATGACTGTCTCTTGGTCCAAGTATAGGTTTCGCATTAGCACGATCAAGTGTTCTGGGATTCCCATTCTTCTCAGAGTCAGCCACAGTTTGTTATAATCCACACAGTCAAACGCCTCCACATAATCAATGAAACACAAATCACATAATCAATGAAACACAAATATACATTCTTCTGGTATTCCCTGTTTCAGCTAAGATCCATCTAACATTAGCTACAATATCCCTAGTACCACGACCCCTTCTAAACCCAGATTACCTCCCATGAATTAGAGACAAAGTTCAGCCCAATTCTGTATTATATAGGTGTAGAGGTTATCTTCCAGGTTCTAAGGACAAAAATCAAATTCTTTATTAAACCAAATCAAAAAAGACAAACTCATTGCTGTCAAGTTGATCCTGACCCATGGGACCTTCCAACAGGTTGCCAAAGTTGTAAATCTTAACAGGAGATACGTCTTTTTCCTATAAAGCACTTAGTGAATTTGAACCACTAACCTTTTGGTTAGCACCCCAACATTTTACCTACTGAGCTACAAAAAGCCCCCAACAAACCCAACCCATGGACCATGCCTATTCAACTGATTCCTGGTTCCCACACATCAGTGACTCCCTGGTGAGTTTCCAAGACTGTAAATCTTTACAGGAAGATGGCTCATCTTTCTCCTGTAGAGAGCTGGTGGTTTCAAACAACTGATTTTTTGTTAGCAGCACTGTAAAGTACAGACAATGCTACCAGGGCTCCCAAACACTACTAGAGCTCCTTAAATTCTGTATTATGAACCCTGATTAGTTTTCATGGAACTTTCCAGCCTTCAAATATGGACTGAACAAGTCCTCATATGAGTTGTGTTTCACTAAAGAACCTAATAGTTCTGAGTGAAAAAAAAGTGTGAGAAAATACTACCTTATCAAGCAGAAGCTGGAACTGGACATCTCGGATTCTTCCTTGGTTAGAGAAGAAAAACTTGGAAAAAGGAATCTGAAAAAGAAACAATTTATTTCACAGCAGTTGAGACATTTGTATGAAAATGGAATGGCAAAAGAACAGTTCAGATTTAATTCTAAATTGTTTCATTATATGTAGTTATACAAATGGCTATCTCTTTGATTAAAAAATACAAATACCAAAAAATGCTAGAAAAATATATATTAAGTCTTTCTAGGCAAATGTTCCAAGGAAAATGACATATAACAGTATGTTGTATAACTTTCTGCTGGAAAATAAAAGATAAGCTAGGAATAAAACATTTATTTATAGACAAAAATGTCTAAAAACAAACAACTTTGTTGTTCTTGTTGTTTTGTGCCATTGAGTCACCTTTGACTCACAGTGACCCTATGTATATTAGCTATGAACTCTGCCCTATCCTGAACCTCATTGTCTCCAACAGACCTAACCCATTTCTCCAGTCACTGAGTTAATCCATCTCATCCTGGGTCTTCCTCTCCTGTGCTAATCCTCTGTCCTACCAAGTATGATGTCCCTCTCCAAGGATGGGACCCAAAGTATGTGCAACAGCGCTTCAAAATCCCTATCTCCAGCAAACGGTTTGGTTTCACCCTCTCCAGGACAGACCTGTTTAGTCTCCTGCCAGTCAACATTCTCCTCCAGCACAATTCAAAGGCATGAATGCTCCTTCTACCATCCTTAGTTACTTTCCAGCTCTCAAATGCATAGCAAGTAATTGCGAAAACCATGGCCTGGATCAAGTGCACCCTAGTCTCCAAACTGAGATCATTGCTAGAGAGGTCCCTGACAGCAGACTTGCCCAATGCAAATCGTTTATTGATTTCCTGACTCCTGGTGCCAACAGTGTGATTGTGGAACCAAGCAAGCTGAAGTTATCAGCAATCTGTCTCTTCTCTATCCTTCATGAAGCTGCCAATTAGCCCAATGGTGAGAATCTTTGTTTTCTTGATGTTTAGCTTCAGTTCATATTAAAGACTACAGTCCTTTACCTTCTACGGCAAATGCCACACGACTTCTTCCATTTCAGCAAGCAAGGTTGTGTCATCTGCATAAGGCAGGTTGTTGATGAATCTTCCTCCAATCCTGATGCCACATTATTTGTCATAAAGTCCAGCCTCCTGAATGATCTGTTTTGCATACAGATTGAAAATGTATGGAGATGCATCCCTTTCCTGATCCTGTACCATGTGGTGTTTCCCTTCTCTATTCTGACTACTGCTTCCTGGTCCAAATATAGTTTTCACAAAAGATTAAACAACACAATAGAAAAGTGGAAAAATGCCAGAAAAATAAAATAGGTAATAAGCATTAAAAAGTGCTCAGAGTCATACATAATTACAGCAATGTAAATGAAAACCATTGAAATATCACTATTGTCTACTGCAGATGTTATACGGGTGCCAAATCAGATGACCTTAGTATAGAGAGAGGGCCCTCTGTGCGGCATGAACAAAATGGAGATTTTCTTTTGAGTTCAAGTGATTAAAAATTCTCAATACATTGAGAATGGCCACCTGATTTTGGCTCCTCTCCTTGAATTTCTTATTTTCCTTCATGTTAATATTGCTTACTTAGAAAATAAGACTCCTGGTAGCAGAGGTGATTGAGAAGACCAAGGGCTCTCCGGCTGTACGCCATGCCTTTCAGAAAAGACTGAGCATTAACACAGATCGATGGTTGACAATCCAAAACACAGAGCAGCCTTATAGGATTTCAGTTCAATGCCATGCTTTTGAAAAAGAGTGGCTAGAATGTGCCCATGGGATTGGTGGTATCCGGGCAGAAAAAGAATGCAAGACTGAGTATGATGATTTCAGAGAATGTTTGCTTCATCAGAAAACTATTAAATGGATGGCTGCCATCAGGAAGAGAGGGCCCTTTAGAGTAGTGAGAGAAGATCTTCACCCTGAAACCCACAGCGTCCCTTTTCAGCAGGAAGTAGCTAAGAGAATACGCCGTCCACTTTTCCTTATGACTCAGGGTGAAGTCTCTCTCAGGGAGGAGTGATAGGGAATGGCAAAGGATACACTGACAAAGAAGATTAATCAGAACTGGCTTTGACAAGCACTGTGGCATTTGGACAAGAACAAACTGGGAGGAGGGTAGAGAGAATAGTGCAACAATGAATGAGTGGAAGCCCAAAATCTCTGTAAATGTTTATGAAAATTAATAAAATATAATTAAAAAAAAAACCAAACAAAAAAAAAAAAGGAAGAGAGGGCCAAGCTGATAAAGAAAGGGAAGTACACACCTCCACCCCACCACATGGGCAAGGGAGAGCGCTGGCCCTGAGCTGAGCACTTGCCGATCACTGGAGGCTGAACTTCATGTTCTGTCTTTTTCACTAGAAAAATTCTTAAATGAAAACTTTGTGAAAGTGTCTAAAATAAAAGCTTATTCTTTACATTACCCAGAAATAAAAATTTTCATGACTGTAGACTTCTCATTCCTCGTAAGAGTCATTCATTCTACTGAGTTAATGATACTGAGTTGCTTGGGAGAATTATCAGGGCAGAAATTTAAAACAAAAAAAAATCTACCTGGGATCTATCACCATGGAACTGTATAAAAAATATTTACTGTGTAATTAGCAGAAATTAATATTGCATAGAGAGTAATTTGTGTGAATCTCTCCTCAAAGTCCTCTTCTTTCTTCTCCTCCTCACACCAAAAAGTATTAGTAGAGAAAAATAATTACAATGTAACCATGATCTCCAAAGATTTTTGTTTAAAAAAAAAAATCTTGTCTTCACAAATCAGTAAAACGTGTGCTGTTACCTTCACCTCCTGCCAATAGGGCCCCCCACGGGTGAACATGAAGTAACTGTACAACTGATCCTTCTTCTGGATTATATCTGTGTCCTCCTTGATATTCACCATCCAAGGTCGTCCATCACCACGGACACGGAGATAGAGAGAGTTGAACTGTGACCAATCATAAGGCTTCTTCATTTCAAATGGGCCCTGAAGTACAGGAAAAAAAGTTAATTTGGCCTCACTCTCTAAATGAGCAAAATGGGAATCATCATCAAAATTACAGCACCGTTAGTCACTTTTTCAAGGAGGAGGAAGAAGGAAAGGAGGTTTCCGACCACCACCAGAAGTCAGATAAACCTGGAGATTTTTATTTTAACAAAAATCACTGCATAGGTATATGATTCTAAGGTAATGCTCTAAGACATAGTTGGCCCAAAACAGTGTTAACAAGGGGTGGACCCTTGTGTTTTCTGAAAAGAAATTAATTACTATTACTCTATGTACTTTCCTTCACTAGTCTTTTGAATGCCTTCTAAGTGACCTATGTGATGACAAACCCTTACATACATCAAAAAACGATAAAACGTAGTGAGTAACTTTAAAATTTATATTTAATAACAATAATACTTGCCATTCATTAAATACTTCCATAGGCATTTCATCTGGATTACCTGATTTAATCTTTATGATAATCCTATTTAAAAGGTATCATTGTCCTCATTTAACAATGAAAGAATCAACCACTAGGATAATATGTGGTGGATTTAGAGCTGTTTAATTCCAAAATCTGTGTTCTTAGCTAATTAAACTGTCTCTCTTCAAAAGCAAAATTTGTTGTTAATATCCAAAGAGTTTACTTATAGCCATCTAAGAGGTAATCCTGATTTCAAGAATACCAGTGCTCATATACGGACTAATATTTACTAGCTTTGTAACTCTGACAAATTGCTAATTCAATCAGAGCCTCAATTTGTTTATCTGTAAAATTGTGATAATCATACCACACAGCTTTGTTGCAAGAAATAAATGTTGTTGTTATGTGCCGTCGAGTCGTTTCCGACTCATAGTGACCCTATGCACAATAGCCCTAAACCCTGCTCTATCCTGCGCCAACCGCACTGCCTCTGAATAGGATAATGAATTTTGTGCTTAGTACAGGATGGGAAGAAAACATTTAATCAGTGTAAGCTAATATTTTCATTCCAGAGAGTTATCTATCATTCTTTCGATTCTCAGGGCCTGAAAGAATCATGTTTGTACTGTTTACTACCTCTGAAGGAATGCTGTTGTTGAATACAGTAGAGTCAGAACTGACCCATAGCTTACCCTCCAGCAGGTTTTCAGAGGCAATCACACAGGAAGAGAATGCCCAACTTTCTCCTGTGGAGCAGCTAGTGGCCTCCAACAACATGCATTTGGGATTGCAGTGCAGGTTTTTCTTTCTCATTATTATGTGAACAGAGGGATCACAATATATTTGCCCTTTCCCTTGAGCACACATCCAAGCAAACATCTGAGGACTGTGACTAGGGCCATGCAGTGAGGCCTATTTGAAACAACACCTGGTCAGCAAATTCTCATAAACTTATAGACTTGAGGGTCGAGTAGTTGTTGTTGTTGTTGACAGCCATCGAGTAGAGCATGACTTGTAGCGACCCTATGAACTAAAAGCTTGAAACCCTCCTACAACGATTTATCAAAGTTTATCAAGAGTGTCCAGAAGCATGTCATTTAGGAGGTGGATGCCACTCGTGCTTCCCCTTTTTGAGGGGAGACAGACTGACTCAGATAATTTTAGAAATGGTATTTTAACTAAAAACACTAAGACTGAAAACAAAAGAAAACTATATACATTGTACTCTAGCTGATAAAGTTGTTACACTTAGCATTACAGATCAAACTTCCGAACCTAATGTACATGTCCACAGAGTAAATATATATATATGCACACTAATACATGCATGCATTCACATATTTACAAAAAACAGAAAAGAACCCCTCAAGACTATTGCCCTAAAATATGCTTTAAATTTGTAACTTATTCCCAGAGGTAATTTAGGAGCTCTGGTGGCATGGTCTGCAGAATGCTGCATTGCTAATCCAGAGGTCACCTTTTCACCAAATAATAGACTGGTTCATAAAACAAACATCATCCACAAATGCCCTGTACATGAAACCAAATGATTATTTACCCTAAAACAAAGACTAGCAGTTAAGGAGGGAGAAGGAAAATTAGATTAACAAAAACAAAACTGTCAAAATGGAAATATTAAAAATGTACAGACATTATGAAAAACAACCAATATCAGTGAACAATGTACATAGGAACTGATCAGTTTGAACTTAAATTGCTGTGTAAACTTTTATAAAAGCCACAATAAGTCATGTCCTCGCCACTGAGTCAAAACTGATACATAGATAACCCTCCAGAGGGTTTCTGAAGCTGTAAATCATAGGGGAGACTGTCCATCTCTTCCCCTTGGAACCACTGGTGGACGTGAATAGCCCAAGTGGCCCAGTCTTTGGGTCAGTAGTAAAACTCCCTATGGACTAGGCCACCAGAGCTCTCAATAAAAGAGAAAAATAAATAGGTTTCTGTCTACTGAAGAGGGAAATGACAGTAAATAAGTAACAGTAGGGAGGACTAGAAGAAACAGTGTGGTACTAGATTAGAATTTGTATCACTTTGAACTCATATCTAGCTTAATATAGGTAAGCAGGTGCAGAAATAGCTATGCAGGTATATGAACACTTGTTAAACGTGTTAGTCTCACTCTCATTGCCTTCAATTTGGAACCAACTCCTACCTGACCCTCCACTGGGTTCCTGAAGCTGTAAACTGCATAGAAGGAGATGCCTGTCCATCTTTCTCCCTCAGAACCACTGGAATATCCAGATCACTAGAGAGGCACACCCTTTGGGTTAGCAGTGAAACTCCTTAAGGAATACACCACAAGAGCTCCCTGTGTTCCTTGTGTTGTTGTTGTTATGTGCCATCAAGTCGTTTGCGACTCATAGCGACCCTCTGTACAACAGCCCGAAACCCTGCTCTATCCTGTGCCAACCGCACTGCCTCTGACACACCCATCCCGATTACCCCAGTCACCGAATCAATCCATCTCCCAGAGGGTCTTCCCCTCCTGCGCTGTCCCTCCACCCTCCCAAGCATGATGTCCCTCTCCAAGGACCCGTCCCTCCTGGAAACATGTCCAAAGTATGTCAGACAAAGCCCCAGAATCCTTGCCTCCAAGGAGTAGCTTGGTTTAATCCTCTCCAAGATGAATCTGTTT